TTCAGGAATTGTTTTTTGCCAAATGAAGTACAGGATATCTACTTATATTATTTTTGCTTCTACTTCAATACTTCTTTTAAAAATAATTTACTTCAACTCAATTACTCATTCATAGATAGCCTAAAAAACCTTTAGCATTCAAACAAATTGCAAAGGCCTTTGCACCAGTTGGATGTGGGCGTTAATTTGAGAAATCAGTTTGTAACTACTAATGTGCTAAGAGAGAATAGTCTAATTGCTACTAACAGTTACAATATAATTACTAATGTGCTAAGAGAGAATATCATTACTGCTAACAAATACAAGTAGCTTGTGGTTCAATAATTTAGTAGGTATATACCCCGTACAAAATTAATTCTAAAGAATAAATATTCTGTTGAATATGGAGTAGATCATGAACTAAAACATGTCAAGAAGAAAGTAAAATAAGGTTCCAAGTTAGAAGCAAAAAGACCAGATACTATCATGTGGTTACCGTGATATGCTGATCTTATTTAATTTCAAGAACGCTAATTACATAGATTACAGAAATGAGTTAAGGTGCAAATGCTCTTCCAGAGCATCTTGCTCTTCCAGCACATACCACATTTTACGGCTCCAAATATCATAATTTTCACCGTTCAATTTGTCACTCTTGTTTAAGTCAACAATGATAGTTTTTGATGCCATAGTCTGTTAAATAAAACAATAATGCAAGTGTATTTATTACTCATCATTCTCGCATGTGATATACACACTTAGGCAAATCAATTGAATAAAATATTAATTTTACACTTAGTATAGAATCGAAAGGTTACTACGTTTCCATTCATCATCTATAACTAAATGTTCAACTAATATTTTATAAAATCATTTCTCATAGTGTGTATCTTGTCAAGATTTTCAATATCATGTCATACTTGTTTTAATTGCCACACATTAAAAACAAACAAATAAAATGACATGTAATCTTGCAAACAAATAACAAAGTTTCATTAATTAAACAAATTACAAGTAGTTGTAGAGACGGTTCTCCCACTCAGCTTCAAATTTAAGAACATAAACCCAAAAAGGTTCACTTGGTCAAACCTCGTGATAAACTTCAGTTAAAATACTACCTAAAGGTTCTCCAAGTGAATATACTAAAATTGCTAAGGCTTCCCAATCAGATAGTTAAATTTCATCAATAGCATCAATTAGTGCATCTCGGGTAAACTGATAATTTTCAATATGTTCAGCTAGTGAAGCCCTAAGCTCTCTAAATTTCTTTTCCCTTTCCCTTCGTTCAGCCCTTCGATCCCTTAACTGATTTTGTCTCGCCCTTGGGACAATCCTGATGACTTCAGGCTCCGAGTCTGAATCATTATTGAAATAAGTCCTGCGACGACGTACCCTTCTACGTTGTCCCCTTCCTTGACTTCGAAAACTCCCACTTGGAGTAATTCGAACTTGTCCCTGTTCAGCCATATATGAAAATAAGATCAAGGAAATAATAAGAATGGCTACAACCATTCAATGTGACGACATATATCACAATAACTTGTAGAAGGATATCAGTTGAGGGATTAAGATAAAATATATATTAATGTTAAGATATGGTATGTTGTGTACAAAAAAAAATATATATCTATATTGTCTCTGTTTCTGACACCAACCCTTTCTTTGATCATTACCATATTTCTACCCATTTTGGCTTCAGAATTGACCCGATGCAGAAGAGCAGTAATTTTACCAGCAAACATTGGACCAAAAATTACCCACAAACAGTAGCTATTTGACACAATTTGAAACAAAGTCACTTATATGACCAACTGATATATCATGCGGACACATGGAGCCAAGTTATATCACTATTTGTGAATATGAATATTAATATTAAGCTATGGGTTTACCAAGAAACAGGAAGCGCAATTTGTGATTAAACTCGTATATGACTTGTTTTGTAACCAAAAAAAAACTTTTTGGTCAAAAGTACAATCTGGCCTCTTATGCGTCAATTTTCCAAAAAAAAAAAATTCAATTATACATTAGAGATCAAAGAAGCCAAATAACTTATCACAAAACAATTCACTGATTACGTTGGCAACAATTAGGAGTAAACAACCTGACTCTGATACCATTGTTAGATTAAACCTAGGGGAAGAGAACAACGAATTGTGTACCTTATTGATGCAGCGGAAACAGTTGAATTCACCACCGAAACGATTGCCCCAAATCGAACTTTGAATCACTAGGAAACAAAGTTAATCTTCCACCAATTAGATGCCCTTACTTGTGTGTGCTTTTCATTGGGAGAAGAAGAGAGTCAGAGAAAATTCTTGAGTTAGAGAAAAAACTTACGCTTCTTTTTTCTGTATTATCTCCTTCAGATAAATAGGGAGAGAAAATAGCGGTTGAGGAAGAAACCCACCACTCACCCACGTTCAATTTAGTGGGTGTTTGTGCTCTAGTGGTAACTTTCCTTTAACCTCTCTCCCTTATCTCTCCTAACCGGGTCGGGTCAGCCCACATGGAGCGACCCATGACCCATAATCCAACAATAAAGTTGTCCATCATCTTGTTCTAAATTTGCTCAACTTTCTCTACTCTTTTATCTTCCTCTGCTTCCTTCTTCGTCCTTTCTGATATTCACCGTAATGCTTCTTGTCGCTTGAATTGATATGGTTATCGAATTTGACGACTTTGCAACTTTATACGCTGATTGCGTGTACCATATATCTCAATAACATATCTACCTCAATCGTCACCTTTATTTTATGGTACTCCCCTACAAGCACAAATCAGGAATACACTTACACTAAGCTGTTAAAGAAGTTGGCATATTTTTAACTTTAATATAGTTTGCCTATTTAAATTTTATTTGATAAGGATATCAATTTAACTCATTAGATCTTGATAAATATTTTTTTTTAGCTAAAATAATAAAATACTGGCATAATAAAATATGAGTTATAAGGAGAGTTCTGCTTTAATATTCTTTACCTGAAGGTCCTAAAGTTACATCGCATTTATATTAGTTTTGATTTTTATTTGATTTTGGAAAAATCAGTTTTTGAGTTTATTTTTTAAAAATGAACTTTTTGTAAAACATGGTTTTATGTTTGAAGTGGAGATGGCTTATGCATCTATTTATATTTTGAGTAATTGCCGAAGTTATACTATATAAACATTAATTTGATGAATTAGGTTAAGGAGCCACGAATAGGTGCATGTTCTTTCTTTGTAATTTTCGAGTATTCGTTTAATAAAGAATTATGGGTCCTTCTCTCATAATAATTGTCGATTATATATAGGTAAAATTCTATTTGAGTTTAAATTAAGTTCCTAAATATTAGGAGTTTATACATAGTTCAAATTGGAAAAATTTAATATCAAAGTCCTCAATATTAGAACAATAATTAAATGACTATTTTGTCTAGTATGAACTCTATTTTTGAAAGGGTAAAAAAGGCGAACGACATTTCGCCAAGGCCTTCGTGCTTTTAATATAGTACTAGTCTCTATGCACGAAATATTTATGCCAAATATCATTTAACACGTGGATATTCTATAACTAATTGTTAGTGAATATGTAGGAATTTCAATAATCTATTACTTTAAAAAAGAAGAGGAATATAATCTATAATCCAGCCCAACTAATAAAACACCTATTTTTTGGGGTCTAGATTTATCGTATGCTTTAATTTAGTACTATCCTCACCTTGTAATGAAGCACTTAATTCAAAAGAAAAATAATGATAAAAGAGGTCCTAATATTGCATTAATCAATTCATGCACCATGATTTAATCAGAAAGGGTAAGGAGCCTCTTCACTTACCGAAAATCCCCGAGCATCGAATACGCGCGATGGTTTATTGCCTTCAATTTTTCGGCACAAGAACGAGCCAAATATCAACGGAGAAAGCTTACAAATCAATTAATCAAAACTTAATCATGAACTCTGAGTCCTGGTGATTTTTGTAAAATTTGCTTTACGCATTTTCCTTTCTTTCACTTACAATTGATTTGCAACTTCTAATGTCACATCTTTATTGGACAATACTGTTTCGAATCAATTCATAAAAAGCAGATAAAATCAGTAAAGGAAAATAACATATGGAGATTTAACTCTATGAACAATCTTTAATGAGCATCTATAACTTAAAAGCTAAAAATATTGCACTATTTGCTCACACGTAATGTCCATTATGGTCTACTGGTGAGGGTTGTCCATAAGATAATCCTCTTTTTGCAGCAATGTCTAACATGTTCTTTAAGAATATTTTTCGGCCTTTGCTGTTGAAAGAAAAATAAACAAACTAACATCTCAATTTTGAAAGACCAAGATGATTTGAAGCAACAGACATTAAAGCAGGTGACTTTGGTTCTGTTGTGGCACAACCTCAATTAGCTTCATAAGAATGTGAATTGTCTTGTGAGTTAATATCAGATTAGGACTACGTTTAGTACCTTTGTTAGGTAGGAGATTAGATATCTAATTTAATTGGAATATATACATACAAATAACAAGTCACATTAGTTTACGGTGGTGTTGTCCAAGTGGGGTTCTTAACTTAGACGGAAATTGAGAAGGAGAAATCGGATGCATATTGCTATTAGCAGTGTTTTCCCTACAAATATGCAGGAGGTTTAGGTGATTACAATTTTATCCTAACTTGATTCAAAAATTTAAGGGTAAAAAAGTTTACCAATATTCTGAGGATATTTTTATAACTCAATATTTAGCGTGAAACATTCGTGCTTATATATATATATATATATATATAGATAGATATTGATAGATAAATTATAAATATAAATATAAATTATTTAGAAACGGGAGTTAAATGGGACGAATACATGCTAAAGGCAATTGTACAAGAAGCAAAAAGAGATGTATTCTCGAATTCGTTCCAGTGTGAACAATTTTTATTGACAGGTCACAGCAAAAAAAAAAACAATTTTTTTTATTGACAGGTGTACGTCTATCTATCCCTCTCTAAACACCTGTACTACTGTTATTAACACGTGTATTTCTGTCTCCCACTAACTGGACGAAATGGTTAATTCTATCTCCCACTTCTGTCCCTTCCTTTCTCAATTCTCACTTACGCTTCTCTGCTGCTAAATTCTCTTCCCGAAATTGCTGGATCCTCCACAACTTTGTGTCACTTTAGAGGCAAACAATTAAAACAATAAATTCTCTTCTCGAGACACTGGTGTGCTCAAAGTGATTGAGGCTTCTCATCTCCAATAAGTTTGGGTTTGATTGCCTTTGTCTTCTCAGTTATGGGTGAATGACTTTGTTTGTTTAAATTTTTCTTTTTGTTTGGTTGCTAGCCATTGTTGCTTCTACTGCTATGCTCTTTTTTTGTGATTTCATTTGAATTTTTTCTTTTCTTGCTTGGTATATTGGCAAATGTTGCACATCCATGCAGCGATGTCTCTGGTGTGTGCTTTTTTTTTTCTCGGTTCAATTCTGATTAACTTTTATGTATTCGCCCTTTCATTGACGTACTCTGTTATTGCTAATGTGGTTTTGGTGGTATCTGGCAGTTCCTATGTTCTTTCGGATAGTCTTATTGGATTTTCACATTCATTTGGGTTGCTTTATTCGATTTATACGCTGATGTACCGAGAGGTATTTGATAACATGTCTAAATGAACTGACCGCATGTGGGGGAACTATCTGCAATCTTTTTCCCTTTCCAATAGTGGTGTAAATTCAGATTTTGTAAAAAAATAAACATGCTTCTAAGTTCTGACTATCTTATTTGCCTCTGAATGACATTTTAAAAATTTATATTGGGAAACTATGTTTATATTCTTCATGAATAAAGGATTATGCTGTGTTTGGGTAAGAGACAATCATTGGAAATAATTTCATACAAATCCCTTTGATTTAATTGGTACTTCTTTGACAAATCTATCTGAAATAGCCCCGTCTCTCATCAAAATTAAAGTGTCTGTGGCTAAAGCATATACATCGAGAGAGCATTAGCAGACCATGCCATCTAAAAATTACTACTTTTTACATGATACTCGAGGAAAACAAACTGCAGACACTTTAGACGTAAACAAACTACCTAAATACAAAAGCTTAAGTGAAAAACAAAAAACATATCCAAATATTAACATCACTTTACAGGTATTGATAAACTCTACATGATGTCCCTCTTTAGCAAAAAGATGATGAAAATTTTAATCAACTGAATTCTAAATTTTTAGTTAAAAGCTGTAGGAACCCAAATGATTAAAAAAAGAATAAAGAAAAAGGGTTTAAAAAAATAAATAATAAGTACTCTTAAAGTAAATTGAGCCGGAAATCCGTGAGATTCTTTTCTATTGTGAATTGAGATTTATTACACTTACCATCCAAAGTTATATGAGATTTTTCAGACTGTTGAATACATTTAATCAATGTAATCAAGCAAAATATTTGGGATTTTGTTCTTTGATTATCTGTTAGCAATTGTATCCGCTTGCTTTCGTTACCTTATGCTCCACTATTGATTGTTGTATGGAGGTTTATTTGAGTATTGAGATGTATCCCGTTAAATGATTGTATATTTCATATGAACTTCGGTAGGAAGATATCCATACTCATAACTCTAAACTCATTTTTTGATGTGTGGAGGCTTTATCGTTCATATTATGATGTCCTTCTTCATTAGTAAAGATCAGTATTTACTTTGTTCTATTCCACTATGCATTCATGACCTTATTCAGATTGACATATCGTATATACGCTTCATAAGTATTGCCATTTCTGATGATCATGCCTCCATTTAAGATATAATAAATTACTATCTTTCAAGCAATGGAAGTTGAAATCAGTCCCGCAAGTAAGGTTTTACATTTGAATGAAAACCTGAACATGAGGTCCAACTCTCTATTTTTGGTATTCATTTGATGCTGCTGGAATCTGCTCTAAGGAAAAAAAAAGAGAAGAAAAATCAGTATTAGCATAGCACTTGAGAATTATCTTTTGTTCACTTAGAAAACACTGGTGACATCTTATTTTCTCAATAGTTTGGTCAATTAGATACACATGTAGTTGTAATGCATTTGAATTGTATTCTAAGATCCTCTTATTTTTTTCCCATGTCGTTCTGGCAGATTTTCCTGTGGACTGTACCTTCAATTCACCATGGGTTGGTTGGCATGTGTATTTGGTCGAACAAGGTATTTCCATGTTCGAATATATGGCCTTACATCTAAATCTAAGAGCCATCCCCAAGGGCTTTCTCACTAGAACTTATCCTTGCAAGGCTATTAGACTTCTGATCCAACTAACCGGAAAAAGCATAGCAGGTATGTCACCGAAATTCAAGGGCTGAAGGTTAATAATTTAAAAATGAAGTGCATTAATTTCATGCATATTTTCAATGTTAATTTCATTTGATAAGTCCATTTATGATTAAAGATTCATTAGTCTATCATACAATCTTTTGAATAGTCTCACAATACAAAAGACACGTAATAGTTACCAGGAAAATTCTTGTTTTTGCATTGGGGTGTTATATTTTTTTTAGATGAATTTTTCTCTGGAGTCCTTTGTAAAGACAAAAATATGTCCCTTAATGAACCGTACACCTATAGCTTGTGATAATTCTGTTTTCTCATTTCCAGCTACAGGTTGTGGCATTATGTCTCTCTTGCGTATTGTAATTTTATGATTGCTTTGTTAGTCCTACAATGAATAGAGTATAAATCTTCCTAATATTTGATAATACTAGCTTGACTCTGTTAAAAATTTACCTTCAGAGGACAAATTTACTGACTAGTTTATCCTTGTGCTTTGCGGTCAGAGCTATAGGATTGGTTGGGATTTTGTAATTTTTGCATTGATTTCTAATAGAGGGTGTTGGAATTTGTGTAAATAAGCAAGAACTTGATAATCAAATTAAGAATATAGTATAACTTGCAGTAAAAACTGATACAACTTGATCTTGTGAAGGGATGCTAGATAACTTTTTCGTATGGTAAGAACTACAGAGCTATATGTTAAATTGCACTTACAGTGTAATTTCAAAATAGAGCGATGTATGTCAACGACAGAGGATGGAGAAAAGGCAGAAAAAGACTCTGCCCAATGTGCATCATGTGGATTATATGGTTGGAAAGAAATAATAGATAGTTTGAAAGAAAGAAATTACATTCTTATATCCTAAAATATAGGTGTTTACGAACACTATATTCATGGTGTAGGAGTAGTCGTCTGGAAAACCCAGCCTTTCTTGGAGTTTTTGAAGTCCATGATGTGATGGTGCAGTTGGCTACATCTTTTGTACTTTCGGTGTACCTCCTTAGTTTTTGAAGTCCATGATATACCAAGATCTTTAAAGGCATTGGTTTCACTTATGCATTTCTAATATACTGTTGATTGTTATGAGCTTCAGCCCTTCCTCTTCTGGCATATTGTGGTGGTTAGGAGTTTCATCCTTGCTCGACGTGTATGCATTTCACTGCCATATTGATAAATTTTTTGCATATTCGAACTTCATATACTCATGACCACTGGTTATCTCTATATGTGGGTAGATTGATACACTGGCATTAATTAATTAACATGCCTCATGTCTGCATGTCCTAGCAAATGCATTCCAACTTCATGATTCATCAACTGCTTCTAATAACGCAAATATATAGTTAACCACTTCTGCATATTTGGAGTTGTGGTAAGTGAAGAAGTATGGCGTCAAAATTTTTTGTTATATGATAATTGTTACTATATGTTAGGATCGACATCAACAACGTGTACTGGATAATATAGTGCTAACTTGCCTATCATTGCAGAGAGCTTCGTTTTAGCGCTTAAACTAATTTTAGTCATTTATTTTCTTTAATAGTTTTTCATTCTATAAAATCTTAAAAACACAGGTTGCCAAGCTACTACATTGAGTTATGGGAACACTAATGAGCCGAAAGTTACTCTACTCTCAAAGCTATACAAAAATTGTGCACTTCATGGAGCCACAAGATTGGAACATGACTAACTGAGTTTTTGTTTTGGCAATAGTTCAGTGCAAGCTATTTGTAGGCCATCATTATAACCGTTTACTTTGAGGAGTTGAGTTTTGTACCTTTAAATTCACAATGAAATAGCAAAAACTAGAGTTAGGCCTTCTTTTCTGGCTTTTTGACACTTGTGGAGCTTAGAGTTTTGGATGTCCATTACTCTAGAAGAGAACTATTTTGAGACATACTGACCATAATAACTTCATAAAACTGAAAAAATTGTGTAACTGGAACTGGGATAAGTTGCTATGTCGTAATTATAAAGCAAAGATCTCAACTGTTTACTACTTGCACAAAATGCTTACATCTTTTCATTCTCTGCATTAAATAGTTACTGATAATTTTAGAGCATGATTGGCAAATTAAATTCTTAATAAGTCAAAAAGCTCATGCTATCGAAAGTTTATTTAGCCTTTTTACAATGATGGATTTTAACTTCATTGGCTGCCTATCATCCCAAGGAAAAGCAGCATGTTACCATCTTAAATAATTTAAATTCATGCTTGCCTATCATCCCCAAGGAAGAGTAGCCTGTTACCATCTTAGATTCTTCGTTCATGTTGGGCCCGTGCACAGCGCGGGCAACACCCTACTAGTATAGATCTATAGAAATCAACGTTATATTATTAAAAATAGGCTCAATACATAGACAACTCCTTAAACTTGTCCTTGTTTTTCATCTAGACACTTAAACTAACTCCATGACCTATTGAGCCCTCCATCTCTATACAAATTGTGCCATCAGATACAAAAAGCTAGAAAACAAAATGCGTGTAGTTCACAGTCGTGATGTGGCAAAGAACCAATGAAATTGGACATGTAGATATTTCCAAAAATAAAAAAACGAAACATTTGTTTTAATTATTGAACATTAAAAAAGATAAAGCAACTCTATTTTTTTCTAACTGTACTCCCATGTCCATCTTCTTATTCCCAGAAAATTAGTTGCTCCCAAATCTTAATTACTTATAGCTTATTATGTTAGTTTATGATTTTTTTTCTCTCTTGGTCTTCTTTTCCCATACGGGGATTTCCCTTCTTTTTTTATGACTTTACTCCGTTAGATCAGATTGGAGATCATCTCCGCCGCGATCGTCTAGTGTCATCCATCAAAATATAGCCAAGTTCTATAGATTCTGGCAATACGAAGTATCAAACGACTAATTAAGGAAAATGCTTTTGGCTCTACTTATAATGGAAGTAAGATTGTTATTTTGGGAATAAACCAACAGACCTCACGTCACTAGCCCCAACGAGAACAACAACAATTACGAAAATAAAAAGTGTGATTAGTCGAAAATTCCTCTCTGAAGTTGGGTGTGCATTTTTCTTTATTTATTGCTGGATGTATTCTTGGACTTCTGTATGCAACTTTGTGTGTTGGGTTTCTGTTTGTTTGTATGGTTTGGTTAAGCTATGGTACTGAAGAGAGAGAGGGGCCATATCCATGGTGGTTTGTAAGTTTTGAGAGAGATTTTTGTTTTTCAGTAAAAAAAAAACTGAGAGCAAAAAGAGAAAAATCAATGGTGATATTCGAGTAGGAAATAGGACTAGGAAATCTGGTTGTGAAAAGGGAGATCAAGAAGGTGACCAGATTGGTTTTTTGAAAGAATTGGAATTTTTCTGTAAATAGTGAGGGGAAGTGTCGTGAGGTGTGAGATAATGGCGTATGGCTTGATTGGTGAAGAAGAAGACTAGTTCAGTTCTCTTTTCCAGCTGGTTCACGCGCTCAGATAAGGTGAGATTCACTGTTTCTGCCACGTCAGCTTCTAGTGTTTAATAGCCTTTTCGGCCAAGTTTTTTTCTGGGTCAAAAGTGCCTTTTTTTTTTTTTGGCCAAAAACACTTTGGCAAAAAATTGAGGTGTTTGGCCAAGCTTTTCGAAGGGAAAAAAGTGCTTTTGAGAAGAAGAAGCAGAAGCAGTTTTGGAGAAGCAGAAAAAAGTAGCTTCTATCAAAAAGCACTTTTCTGAGAAGCACTTTTGAGAAAAATACACTTAGAAGCAGTTTTCAAAAGCTTGGCCAAACACTAATTACTGCTCAAAAGTGCTTTTCAAATTAATTCGCCAAACACAAACTACTTCTCACTAAAAGCACTTTTTTAAAAAGTAATTTTGAGAAAATCACTTCTCAAAATAAGTTGATTTTAGAAGCTTGACCAAACAGGCTATAATACTAAGTTAGAATTGAGATGACGTGCTCAATAGGTCATAGGGTTAGTTAAAGTGCTTAGATGTTAAAAATGGACAAGTTTAAGGGGCTTCCTATATATCTAAGTTATAAAAAGTATATCTAAGTTATAAAAAGTAATGATAAATGTTTGTAAGTTTTTGAAAATGATAAATATTGTGCCAATTAAGAAAACTCGATAGGAAAAAAAAACTTTACCCACTTTTTTCCTATTTTAATATTTCATATTTATTTTTCTTTCTTATAAATTAAGTATTAAGAAAGAAACTTTAAGAATACCTAATCCATGTATTTATATGATTGTGTCATAATCTATTTATCTATTATTCTTGTTCCATGAAAGTAAAATTCAATAACATTTAGTGTTGCTATAATAAATTTTTTAAAAGTAAAATTTTGAGAATCTAGATCTGTTTAAAAGAAAAAATTAGCATCTAACTTGTCGTTTTTTGGTTTGGTCATTGCCTCCTTTGGGTTTTACAGATTTTTTTTATTTTTATAAAAGAAAAGAAAAAGAGAAAATTGTTGACTCTTGTAAACCAAAAGAAAAATAGTATTAATACAAAAGACAGTTATTTGTAATATAGTATAAATGATGATTAATTATTTATGATAGTTTATAAAATGAAAGTATAATTTAATCTCACTGCAATGATACTTGGAAGATTCCGTCAACTCTTGTGAATCTAGCATATTCATCCTTAATCTAATGTATTGGATTTAAGTCCTGTATGAAATTGACTTTATCAATATGAGATTTTCTGTCGCGGAACTGGACTTAATCGGCATCAATGCAAATACTAGAGATCGGATAGAAAACCAAAAAAATAGAGGAGCGTACTATTATTAGATTTATAGTCCTTATGAAAATTAACTTGAGTTACAAACTTAAAGAATTTTATTGTTTTGATTGTGCAGAATATTCTTATAAGATGTAAGGGCCCGATAGGTTATTTTGAGTACTAGTCCTTATTTTCATGCTTTGAGACCTCTTATAGCTTCATTAGATGGCATATGACTTGTATGTGTGGTACGTATTATTTTTTGAAAAGTTTTCACGTGAATTTTTCTAAAGAAAATGTGATTTTTAGCTTTAAAAACAACTTGAGCTGACCTCGGTCAACGTTCTTGGTGAACGACCTTGGATCGATATTTTGACGATCTCGGTAGATTCATATGATACTTTTGTACTAGTACGCACGTTTGGTTGAGGTCCGGAGTGACTCGAGACGTTTCGACACATTATGTGAAAGATTGTGAAAAATGAGTTTTCAAGTTGAAATCTTGAGTTTTGATGATTGATTCTTTTTATATGATGTTATTTTGATGATTTGAGGCAGCGAGCAAGTTTATATGATATTATACACTTGTCTCCATGTTCGGTTTGGAGCTCGAGGAGCTCGGGTGAGTTTCGGATAGGTTCTGGACTATTTTTGGACTTATAGAACTGTGGTTTTTTTCTTGTGCACAGTGTTTCGTGATCGCGAAGACTCTCTCGCGATTGGGAAGGGGAATTCTTGGGCTGGGGTTGGTTGCTCTATGCGAACGCGAGAGGTAGGTCGCGAACACGAAGCATTGGGGGGATTACCAATCGCGAACGCGACAGACACCTTGCGTGCTGTAACGACCCGATCAGTCGTTTTGTGTATTAGAGTCCAACTTCCCCTTTTGAAGCTTTTCACATGTGTATTTGTAGTTTCATGAATTGCGGGATGGTTAGTTTCGTTTCGGGAAAGTTTTGGAATGATTTGGATCCTTGAGTTGGTTTAGAAGCTTAAGTTGGAAATGTTTGACCTAGAATTGACTTTTGTGAAAAGGACCCTTGAGCGATATTTTGATGGCTCCAATATGTTCGTATCTTGATTTTGGACTTGGGAGTATTTTCGGAATTGAGTTCGGAGTTCCCAGGTTGATTTGACTTGTTTTGTCGAAAGTTGACAATTTGAAGGTTTTTAAGTTCCTTAGATTTACCGTAGGTTGACTTTATGCCTATCGGGTACGGAATTTACTTTTGGAACTTGGAATAGGTCTGTTTTGTTATTTAGACCTTGTCTACAAAATATGGTGTCATTCCGAGTTGGTTTGATAGGATTCGGACGCTTGGTTGTGATTCTAGAGATTCTTGAGTTTCCTTTTGAATTCCATGCGTTTTGAGGTCCAATTCGTGGTTCCGAATGTTATTTTTATATTTTAATCGTGTGAGCTAGTTCATATGATATTTTTACACTTGTGTGGATGTTTGGTGTGGAGCTCCGGGGCTCGGGTGAGTTTCGAACGTGTTTCGGATTGGTTTGAGCTCATTTTTAGGTTGTTGGTGTGTTGGTGCTCCAGTTATCGCAATTGCGAGCACTAGCATCACAATTGGGATGTGGACACGAAGGGGCAAGTATCGCATTTGTGATGCCTTACTCACAATTGCGAAGTTTAGGCTTAGGCTGAGTAGGTCGCATTTGCTGAAGGGACAGACTTCGCAAATGCGAAGTCAGTCTCGCATGTGCTACATTTTCCTGGGCTTTCAGGCGCCGCATTTGCGAGTAATTTTTTGTAGTTATGATGGTTCACAATTACGAACACAGGTCTTTGCAATTGAACAAAAGGGCTAGAAAAATGGGACTTAGTCTCATTTTCATATTTGTAACCTTAGACTTGGTAAGAGGCAATTTTGAGGAGGAATTTTCACCTACAACTATTAGGTAAGTGATTTTGATCAATTTTTTAATTATAGTACATGATTATTTATGACATTTAACATCAAATTCATGAATTTCTAAGAGAAATTTTGGAGAATTTTGTCTATATTTTGAAAAATAAAAACTTGAGATTTGAGAGTCGAATTGGACTCGAATTTGAAAACACAATACCTATATGCACTCGTGGAGTTATGGCATTGACGAGCGCAAAACACACACTTAAATTATGCTCGCTAATCAAATATAGTATAATATTGTATCCATAGGGATTGGAATTAAACATTATTCTTGTAGTTTCTAGCTTAATTGCTATCCAAGAGGATCGACAGTTGAATTTATATGATTAATACTAAAATTAACTAAGAATCTAGGGCTATTGACTAATGACAATCGAAACAAAGAATAG